CTGGCACCTGGGCAGCCTCTGGGCCCTGGACAGCCAGTTGACCGCTGTCTCTTTGGTCAGAGGCCCCAGCATCTTTCCCACCGTCTTGAGCTGCTCAGGGGTGAACCAAAGCATGGCCCGGTTGGTATCAATGGCCTGCAGCGGGCCATGGCTGACTGGCTCATCAGGAGGACTTTTCTTAGTTTTAGCAGCCTCTGTGTCACTGCCCTGCAGCTGGCACACCTCCTCCCGCAGGGGAGCATATGGGGATGGCCTGGTGGGGCCGTTGGCCCCCCACACATCATCCTCATAGTCATAGTGGGGTGGGTGTGGATCGAGACAGTCATCCCCCTCGCCGTTCCCGAACCGACTCCTCTTGCCCTGGATGGCAGCCACAATGCCCCGCGACACCCCCAGCTCAGCCTGCAGCTCCTGGATCTTGGCGTGGCACACCTTGTGATCAGGGCCATTGCCGCGGTCCCGCTGGGCATCCTGCAGGACAGCCCGCACCGCGCTCTGTGCGTCATGTGTCTCCCCGATCCATTTGCCCACCTCCTTCTCTAACTCCTCTGTTTTCAACTTCTCGTAGCCCAGCTTGCTCTCCAGCCGGGTTATCTCCACCGCGCTCCTCAGCGAGTCCCCGCACAGACCCTGAACCTCTGCCCGCAGGTTATCCACCTGCATCTTGAGCTCGCCCTTGGCCTGCTCCAGTGTCTGCACACTCTCAAGAGCCTCCTTAAGCAACTTCGACAACTCCCTGCCCACCATCAGCAAACCCTGCAAGGCCGCTCTCTTTTTGCACTTGTTAGTGGGTTTGGGCTTTTTGTTCTCCTCGGACCAGCTCTCCCACTGCTGACACAGCTGCTGGTACGCCTCGGGACCCTGAAAGGCCCCAGGGGACCAAATCGGGGGGAGACACTTCTGGAGCACAAATTGCTCCAGCTTCCAGTTGCTAACGATATCGGACATCATAGCGAGAGTTGGGGTGACGAGCTGAGAGACGACCGCGTTTCACAGCACAACTACCATAACACTGGGACCCCACGGACCCACAAACCAACCCTCCAAAAAGCCCCACAACCTCCCTGGGACACCAAACCCAGCAGCAAGGGAAGGGGGTGGGGGGGACAAGGGGACAGTGGGGGATGGGGGAGAAAGGCCTGGCAGGCGGCTGCTGCGGCCCGCCGGCACCTGGGGTGCAGGCAAAGAGGAGGAAAAGAGGAGGACCCCGATAATAAGATCTCACCAATCCTTGTCCAGATGCACTGGGAGTCCTGGGGACCTGGGGATGGATGCTGCAGAGCTCCGCTGGATTTGGCACCTTTAGGGTCAAGGTGCTGGCGGGGTCTCGGAGCCAGCAGCTCTTTATAGCCATGGCAGATGGTTGTTTGGGGAGGATATCGCCTGTTTGCTTCCTCGGTGCCTTTCCCTCCCTCAGGTGCGGCATCTCCACCACTATCTTCCCAAGGACAATTTGCTTGGCTTCTCTTATCCTCTCCGGCACTGATAACCACAGAGCAGGTGCTCTGCTCATTATTTTTTTTCAGGGGGGCCGGATTAGTCACTGCTACATCTCAAGAAGCTCTGCTTGCACCAAGTGCCCTCAAGAGGGAGATCTGGAGCAGCCACTGCCACCTGTCCCTGACCACCCGTACCCCAAGATTCCCTTCATGGCCCACTTGCTTTCCGCACCCCTCTGCTAGCCCCTCAGCCTGAGGGACATCACACCTGGGCCCCAAACCATCTGAATCTGTAACACTTGTTCCCCCTCAATTTACACAATGAATATTTCACACCCATTTTATCTCCCAAACTTCAGCAGCAGAATTTCAATGCCATCCTATTGCACACAGGCGGGTAGCTGGGGGTGAAACCCTGCTCCTCACAGCATGGAGGGGGGCTAAGCCCTGCTGCAGCATCAGCTGAACTGCAGCTGGAGGTCTGCAGCTGCAGAGACAGTCACGGCTTCACCCCACAAACCACACTGCAGCTCAGAGCCCTGCACACCACTCGGCCCCCTTCGTTTTCCTCTGCCATTACACAGAAAAGGGCATTACTCATCCTCCTGTCGTTCTCAGTGCTGCTTCTCTCCCTCCCTCATTAAAAATAAGTACTTGGGGGGAGGGAGGGAGAGAAGCTCCCACGCAGCTGCTTGAGCCCTGGGGATTGCCCACTGGGGACCCCACCACCCTATGATCTCCTAACTCCAATAACTGCATGCCAAGGCTGAGCAGCACTCTCCAGTTCCAAAAGTCCTGTAGTCCAAAAGCACTGAGGGTGCAGCTTTGTCCTTGTTTTTTATGCCCAATGTTTGCATTTGTGGCTACTGAGGGCAGCTCAGCCCTCTGGATCCGACCATCCCAGATAGGCAGTTCCCTTCTCCAGCCCCTGCATGCTCAGCACAGCCTGGCTCATGGTTCTGCTGCAAAATGGGATTTCAGCAGAACTGGGGACCCCGCTGAGCCATGCTTCTCCACTGCAGACCTCTTATTTCCCAATGGTTTGTTCTAGTTACCCAAAGCAACACATTTTGTTGGAAAAAAGACACCAAGGTGGAGGGGGGGGCGGTGGGGAGCGAGGGGGGAGAAATAGAGTTGGAAATGTAACAAAGCTGGCAAAGGACCAGGAAATTGGTGCCGGGAAGGTGAGATGAGGGTATGAGCAAGGAGCAGATCTGCAGGGAGACTGTGGAGATGGGGCAGGGATGAGGTTGGGCAGAGGATCAAGAAGGTTGGCTTTTACTGTATACATTAAAGACTTAAATCCCACTAGAAGCTGTGAGGCAAGTAGCACAAACATAATGAAAATTCAGATTCCCCTCCATCTTGCCCCAGCCACCAGCAAGGCTCATGATCAGCGCTCCACAGGAGCCGCTGTACCCCGGCAAGGTCACAAACACCTCTTGTTTGTGTGAACAGATGGGTTCAGCTCACCCGCCCGTGCTCTTCCCAGACAGCAGCCCCAAACAAAGCGGGGATGTGATAAGCACCACCTGGCTGCCCGCACGCTCCCACGGCGCTGGGGCTGCTGTTGGAGATGGGCTGCCAGACACAGGCGTCCCACCTCTGGTTTGTTTACTGGGAGCAGCACCCAGCCCTGAGAACCACGTCATTTTGAACAAAAAGAGAAAAAGAAAGCCACAAAACTGCTCCAGCATTAAGCTTTTACATTGTTAATATTCTTCTTCTCTTTCCGTTGGACAAATGTAAGTTAAAATGCTGCAGGGAAGTATCTCTAAAGCTGCTATAATCATAAAATCATTTGAGTTGGAAGGGACCCTTAAAGGCCATCTAGTTTAACTCCCCTGCAATGAACAGGGACACTTACAGCTCCATCAAGTGCTCAGAGCCCAGGGGAACCCTCAAAACTCAAAGCATCTGCTTCAACAAGCCACTGTCGCCAACCTTCCGGCAGTATTTGAAGCCCACAGTAATGTGCCCTGTGCCCAAGGCTTTAACAGTGCTTACTCCACCTCTGGGAACACTCTGGTCCTGGCCAGGAGGTCAGAAGATGGGCAGGGGTCGGCAGAAAGAGAGGTGGGAAAGGAGGGACATGGCAGCAGGCAGGACAACTCATGTGCAGTGGAAAAGCTCTCCTGCAGTTGCACTTCTTCAGTGAGGGCCCTTGATAAAAAAGGTCCCCACAGCACTGGAAAGGGGAAATCTGACCAGGTGCTCATGAGGGGAGCCAGCCCCAGTGTGGGACAACCTTTTGAGTTCACTGCAGCCTTTATGAGAATACTGCACTCCGCGTCACTCCCTGAAAATGCAATTAAAACCTGCCTGCCTTGTCTGAATCACTGTGTTGCAATTCCCCTCCCCTCGCCTGCAGCCAGGTGCTCTCCCTTCCCTTTATGTGCAGCTTGGAGTTGGGGTCACTCTCCTTTGGGGCCATCCCAAATCTCCCATTACCCCAAAACCCCTCAATGCCCCCCTGGTGGTCTCCACCCAAACAAAAACACCAGCAGTGCGCAGAAACCATAGAAAATAAGATGCTGCCAACACAGCTCTGATGGATGACTGCGCCCTGTGAGAAGGGCTGTGCACTTAAAGGAACGAAATGAGCTGGAAAGCACTGAAATGACCTCTGGGCTGCTCCTGCCAGGAAAGAGTTAAGGAATGATTCAGCCGACCCTACATTTGACTCTTCACCACAAGGCTCTGGGTGGTTGTAGCAGGAAATTGTATTAAACAGAAGGGTGTGGGGGAAACATGTTAGAGCAGCACAGAAAAATCTGGTGAAAAGGTAAAAAACTACACCAGATGGGATGGAAAATCCTTTCTTCCCATTCATCTGACAACTCACAGATCCAGGGGGTCCTGAGTGGAGGGAGGGGGAACCCCAGAGCCCCCCCAGAGACCCTGTGGGCATGAGCCAGGAGGGAACCCCAGCAAAAAGAGAGAAGAAAATGACAGCACACAAGAGATTTCTTCCCAAAGATGGAAATACTGAAGTCTTGCAACCCCTGCACCCCACCGCTCCCTGCACTTTCACACCATGCATTTCACTGCTCAAATCCAAGCCATTCCTGCTCCAAATCCTTCACCTATAACTTCAGTACAACAAATGAGGCACTCGGTGTCAAAGCTCAGGGCCAGGTGGGGAGCCTGAGAAGAATTTCCTTACTTTTGCGGTTTGTCAGCCACTAAATTTGTTTGAGGTTTCTTGCTGTCGTCTTCAAAGCGTTCTGCGATGCCTCTCTCGTGTGAGATGGAGAGCTCTCAGCATTTTCCAGGCTCAGGACAGAATGCCTCCTGCACAAGGACGGTTTGCTGTGTGGTGAATCCCGGAGGCTGCAGTTAATTTTGCTGCCTTCTGCTGCAGCGGAGTGCCTGAAGTTACATCTTCTCATTTAGAGAGCAAATTGATTTCGACAGAAGACAGCCAAAGGGTGTTGTTTTATTCATTTAGGGCCCTCTGAGCCAGCTTGCTGCTCTCTGATACCTAAAGGCCAGATTTTACAACAGGAGGAGATGCTAGATGGTGAAATAGGAGGAAATCATTAAAGAGAGCAAGCCCAGCCCGTCGCCCTGACACCTGATTGTGAGAGCGGGGACCTCTCACCACCAACACCAGCAGCACCTGCACACAGCTGGATGATGTTGGACATGGCCACCATGGCCAGGCCATGGCTCTGGCTCTGGCTCTGCCTGCAGCTCCCAGGTAAGAGGGATATCTCTGGATGAGGGCAATTTAAATCGCCAGTCCCAGGTAGCAGCGATAGAATGAGAGGGAATGGCCTCAAGGTGTTCCAGGGGAGGCTCAGGTTGGGTATTAGGGAGCATTTCTTCTCAGGCAGAGTGGTGAGGCATTGGAACACGATGCCCAGGGAGGCAGTGGAGTCACTGTCCCTGGAGGCGGTCAGGAACTGCAGAGATGTGGCACTCAGGAACGTGGATAGTGGGCATGGTGTGGTAGGAGGCTGGTTGGGCTGGATGATCTTAGACATCTTTTGGAACCTTAACGATTCTATGGTTCTATAATTCATGGAGTGAATCATAGGGGATATGGACCGAATGTATCGTCAGTGTACTTATACTACGTATATATAGTGCCTGTAAGAGTTGCCCCAGTGCAGTGGTGGGGTCACCCCAGGCTCCCCAAAACGCCATCAGTTGTACCAAAAGTCCCAGATGGGAAAAACTAAATAACTAATTAGAGACATACAAGAAGGTGCCTTTGGGGAGAAAAGCACCACAGTACGGCGGGGTTGGCTAGCTTCCCTCTGGACAAGATTGCAATAAATCCCAGTTTGCCCCACATGGGTAAAGGGGAACCAATTGGCCCCCATGGCTCCATTCCTGAGCTGCTGCCTCATTCCCACCTGACCCCTGCTCCCAGCCAGACCTCTCACCACCATGGGGCAGCCAGGGTCAAGCACATGCTGTGCGGGTGGGCTTGCAGGGCTGGAGTTGCATGGGGCAGTTTGCAACAGTGGCCATGGAAGTTTGAAGGAATACATAAATTTTAAGGCAAATAAAAAAGGGAAAAAGGGCTCTGTTCAGCTTTCTGCATGGCTCTAAATCTTGCCTGGGAAACAGGCAGGGGAAGGGAGAGCATCCTTATCTCCTGAGGCTGTTTTTCACAGGGGCTGTGCAGCTGCACAGGATTATTTGCTGAACACAAAGCCCTGCTCCAGCTCCTGTCTTCCTTCCCCAAGGCCGTGCCAGCTCGCTCCTCTCACACACAAACACCACTCCTATCTGCCCAGACCTGAGATAATTTTCCAGCAGTACCTGCACAGCCCAAACAAGGCGATGCAACGCCAAAATGAAGCTTTCAAATCCTTTTGCTACCTTTGAGCTGTTCTCCCTCTCCAAATTGCAAAATTCTTATGAAAAACAGCCATCCAAAAATAAATATCAAATAAAATGAAATGTCTTTATCTTTATATTCATTTTCCCAATCTTTCCAAATTTTTCCTGCCCTTTCTAGAGATGTGTCTTAGGAAGAGACCAACGCATCCCACAGAAACAGCTCTGGAGATGCTCAGGTTTCTAGCTACAAAACAACAGAAATAATCTAAAAGTTTTAGCAACCAAAATAAGAGAGGGAAGGGGCTCAGAAGAGTCTCTGGATTCCAAAACTGAGAGAATACAAAAAATACAGCACTCTTAAAATACTTAAAATCATTCTTCCACTCCTCTCTGCCACTGAGCTCCATCTCCAGATGAGCGGTTGTGGGGTGATGTATGTGGTTTTACCAAAATAGATATAATAATTATTATTATTTTTCCAAAAAGTAGCTGGGAAACCAAAAAGGCCTCTGAAGGAATATCACAGAACCATAGACCAGGCTCTGAGCACCTGACGACGCTGTCGGTGTCCCTGTTCATTGCAGGGAAGTTGGACAATATGACTGTTTAGGGTCTCTTCCAACTCAAACGATTCTGTGATAGAATCATAGAACATCAAGTTGGAAAGGACCCACAAGGATTACTGTGTCCAGCTTTAACACAGGCTGATGCTTCTGCTAGAGGGGCTCAGGTCTGATGCCAGTTACTAAGCATAGAAGGAAAAGCTGGGCCGTTATTTAAGAGACAAGTGGACGTGGCACTGAGGGACGTGGGTCAGTGGTGGGACCCGGTAGGTCAGGCCAATGGTTGGACTTGGGGATCTTGAAGATCTTTTCCAACCTATGGATCTAACGAAGGTGAAATACACAGCTCTGTGTTCCTGCCTCTTTTTGTAGGTTTCTGTACAAATCTACTTTCATCCCAGACTCCAGGGCATATCTTAGCCCAGACAAACAGCAGCACAGAAATCATCTGCCCGATGAAGAGGGATCACACTGGGCTCTACTGGTACCGCTGGAACCAGGGCAGGCAACACTTTGAGTTCTTGCTATTTTCCAATCCTCTGGGAAAAGCCACATATGGCGCAAACATCAGCCAGGAGAAGTTCAGCATTCACGGGATGAGTTCCCACCACTCCTCCAGGCTGCACATCAGCCGGCTGCACGGCTCCGACAACGGCACCTACTACTGCTGCACCATCCAGTCCTCCGAGCTCATCCTGGGCACTGCGACCCAGCTCAGCGTGGGTGAGCATCACTCCTGGGGCTCCAAACCGTGCGGCAGTGGGCTGGGATGAGGGGGAGCATGTTGGCTTCCCAATCTGGAGGTGTAAGGTTGGGGCTTTGGGGTCAATGAGATGTCAGAAAATGCAGCAAAGAGCTACAGTGCATTTCTTAGTGGGCTTCTGGGGAGACAAACAACATGCTGAATTGAGATGCAGCTATAGATGCTGGCTCTAAAACACCCCTTCTTGCTTTTTGCAGACATACCTCACATCTCACATTCATTGTGCTGTCTCAAAATTCCCTTTGGGATCGTTGCTGCTTCAAAGAGAAGCTGATTTCAGATAAAGGAGAACTGTTTTTTTTTTTTTAATCAGCTATGCACCTATCTATGTCCCAAAAGCAAGGCATGAAAAACATGGCTGAAATTCAGCACCGCCAAGGACACTCCAATTTAAAACTAAGCCCCAGCAGGTGGCTGGAAAAGACTCAACTCTGCCAAACATTTTTTTTTTCTCTTCAATAGCCAGCATAAAACAAATCACCTCTAAGTTCCCTTAGATCTATCATTTTATTAGAAAAAATAATGCAGTTCTGAGCAACAACTGCAGCAATGTGAATACAGAAGAGACTCAGAGACCCCTGAAAACCCCATGTGCTGCTGCAATCCCTGTGCTCCTGTGTATAGGGGGCTTGGGGTTGGAAACCAACAAGCAGTGATGTAAAACCTTAAAATAAATGATGAGGCTGTGCCTGGCTGTAAGCATGGCTTGGGGATTTTTTCCTTCCTTCTGCTTTAATCCTGCCTATGTTTGCTCACTTAGCTTTTTATTAAAACTAGGGACTTTCTAACCACTGAGGGGCTCAGGATGCTCCTGACACCCAACTCGGGCAATTTCAAATGGTCTCAAGATGTTTTTTTGCTTTGTTCATTAAGAGATCCAAAGAGCTCTCAACTGTAATTAACATCAACGTTTGCAACAGTGCAACCTGACAGGCTGCTCAGAGAAGCCGTGGGTGCCCCATTCCTGGAGGTGCTCAAGGTTGGGCACCCTGGTCCAGTGGGGGGTGTCCCTCTCTATGGCAGTGGGTTGGAACCAGATGGGCTTTAAGGTCCCTTCCACCAAACTGTTCTGTGATTCTATGCTGGGTGTAGTTTTAAAAGCTGCTGTTTCCAGCCACCTCCTGTTTGCTGTGCTCAGCATGACATTAACACTCTTCTACCTCTCTCCCAAACAGTCGATGTTTTGCCTCTGCCTTCAGTGTCCACGGTGGCCCCATTCACCAAGAAACCCACACGATGCAAAGCCATCAACAAGAAAGGTACAGGAACGCGTTGGCTCTGTCTGCTCCAGAAGCAATGCCTGGGTTCTACGTGGGTGTAGAGGCCAGGAAGGATTTCCTTTTAGCTCTAGTGCTCCCCAGGGATGTAGCTCACCTGGATGCAGCGTCAGGTGGATCCCTGCACCAGCAAGAATGACACAAAAATGTTATCAAAACCCAGAGCTAAGCTCCCCATGATGCTTTTGATTTAGTGCATTCTCAAGGGATATTCTGGGGTAATGCTCATGGCCTCACCCCTCCCAAGAACAAGATCTGCTTTTCTCCTTCCTCACCCCGTGCTCCTCCACCCGGGTAGGACAGTGCTGCAGTGCTGAGCTGTAGGGGCAGCTCCTCACTCTGTCCCCCATTGCAGGTGCCTGCAGCCTCCTGGTCTGGGTCCCACTGGCTGCCACTGCCCTGCTGCTCCTGCTGAGCCTGATCCCCACCATCCGCCGCTTCTATCGTAAGCATCGTACCCTGGTACAGCCTGGCATTGGGGTGGGGAGTGTGTGGGGAGCTGGGGGTCCCAAAGCTGATTGGCACCATTTCCCCACAGGGCTGCAGAGGAGGCTGTGGCTTCGAGTCCACAGAAAGTAAATCCTTCTGGAAAAAACTATGGAGAATCACCTGTGTGGTGCTGAGCCCTGCTGTGATGCGAGCCAGGGAGGACACTGCAGAGGACTGGATCAGATCCTGCACTGTGCCGAGCCTTTCTCATGGAGACTTTGGGAGCACAGCAGCTGGCTCTGCACTGGGACTGGGGTATCAAATGGATGCATCCGGGCTGGAAAGATGCTCTGGGCTCTGTGCTGGTTGATGACTTTGGTAAGGAACACTTTGAGAGGTGGCTGCACACCTCGTAAAGATATTAGAAAGGGTAAATATATCATTCAGCTCTGCAGGCTGGCGCCTTGTGGCCCTGAGTTGGGTTGGATTTGGTCAGCAAGGGACTACGAATGTGGTGAGGAGCAGGGGAGCGAGCAGGGGTTAAAGCCTGCAAAAAGCTGTGGGGGAAACTCAGCCTGCAGACAGACACAGCCAGTCCCAAGGCCAAGCAACCGGTGGAGCAGCAGCTGATAACAGGCAGAGGAGCCCAACAGCACGGCGCTGCCCCAGCCATGGGCACTGAGCCTCTGTGGCACCACGGTGCTGAGCACAGGGCGGCTTTCCTCCCCTCTTAACACAGCAGCCAGCACACCTCTCCTCAGCTCCACCGTGCCCATGATAGCACTAACCTCACCACCCCAAAAAAACCCTTTTATTTTTGATTTTAAGGAGAAAAGTCAGCCCTGAGTGGCAGTACCATGTTCCTGTTGCACAGTGGCCGTGGTAGCTGGGACACAAGGATGGTCCCCATGCCACCAGGCACACGCATAGCACTGGCTGTGCTCTCAGCACACAGAACAGGCAATTGTTAGGAGTTTTATGTCATGCATTTTTTATGCAATTGCCGTAAAGAAACACTTTGAAGCTTTCTGTATGCAGAATTCCATTCTGGCAAAAAAAAAAACAAACAACCAAACTCAGCCCTTTGATGAGCATTCACCATGGGCTCCCTTCCCACGGGAAAACCTGCAGCTCAGCTGTGTGCAATCACAGGAGAGGACAGGCAGCAGCAGCCCAGGGCTCCGCACCTCCTTCTGAAACGCAGCTTTGTGCACTTCACCAAAGGAAACTATGAACAAAATCTGATAATGCCTCAACTCATCAGTGGGGGGTTTTTTGGGCAGTGAGCTTCAGAGATCTGAGCGGGTTTCACAAATGCAAGAACTGGTGGAAAAATCACCCCCCTCTCATAGACTTCTTCCAGAGCGTATGTAAGAAAGAAACAGGACCACTGATGAAAAGCAGCTTTCACATCTGAGAAAATGAGCCCCCCAAAGCGTTCTTTTTGTTGTTGCTCTTAACTTGAAAGAAACAACAGTTGAGGTCAGGGATGCTGCATTGCAGAGCGAGCGGGAAAGGCGTGTTTGTGGTGAAACCCCACGGAAAAACACGTGTGTGTGACTGCTGAAGGCAGCGAGCAGAAAGGCCTTGTGGTCACAGTGTCACCCAGTGATGTCCTCCAGGTGGTGCTCCCCCATTTCTTCCTCACTTCACACGTCCTCCCAGAAACTCTCCAGCCTTCTGCCCCCTCCTCCATGCATGGAAGCAGGCTCACAGCAGCCATAGCTGCTGAATGCCCACTTATACGTGCAGTTATATACATATTATTTCATACATCTTGACAGTTATATACATCTTGAAAGATATTTGTAGAAAAAAAACCCACTCTGCTCCTGCATTATGTTTCCCTGTAGCTCTTCTGCTCTATTTGCCCTCCAGCACTCCTGTCATGAACAAATCCCAGGCACCAGCACTGCAGACCCATATGGCACAGCTGCAGGAACACGAAAATCACTCCCAGGCAGCCCAAGCACTTCCCTGGACTTTACAACACTTCATTCAGTACACTAGAAATGCTGAGGCTGCACAGAAATAGATCTGAGCAGCAATGGAAAAGCCATTGCAGAAATACACACCTTCCCTCTGGACAGTTTGTTTTCAGTTGGCTCAGTCATCACTGATGTTCTAAGGATCATTGTGATGTAACTTAGAAATGCCTCTCTTTGGATGCACACTCAGTTTCCTGGGCAAACCATGCCCTGCTGGCACTCCAGGGAGAGTGGCCCAGGAGGCAATGGTGGGTCCCATCCCACTGTACAGAGCCCATGCTGTCACCCCAAGGAGATGCTCTCCTGGTCCCCAGCCCCATGTCCCTCCCCTCCACCATTACTGGGCTCACAAACCAAGGCAGTTGGCCGGATCCAACACCTTTTTATTTTTGACATCCACTGGGTCAACAGGCTACAGGGTTTTACAGCTGAACCTGTGTATGCATCTCCTTTATAGGGAATGTATACACACTCAGAAAATGGGTTCATTCTCCACGCAGTGGTGACCACATGGAAGAGATGGACCCCGTCCTTCTTCTGTGGTTAGGAGGATTGTGATGCTGGGAGGGCCATGCAGTGCTGCAGGTTCATCCCTGGGGATAAACGCCCTTGTGAGATCAACAGCTAAGTAAGTTTCATCTGCTCTGCATTAAACAATGAAATAATTGGAAAATGAATAGTGTTTCAGAGGAAATGGATGTGGAGTTTTGTAGCAAATGGCTTCTTTGAAGTGACACACTGTAATGAGAACGTCTATTTAAGAACATGAAAAAGGTTTGATTCGGAGCACATTCAGGTACATCCAGAGCACTGTTCTGTCTTCAAACAGATGGCTAAGGAATAATGACAGGACAGTCATCCCCTTAGTATTCCAACCTTCTTCACTCAAAATGATTTCCTGAGCCTGGTGCCATCTATGGAGTAACTCACAGCAGATCTCTTTGCCAAGTGCTTGTCCAGGCTCAGAACTCTTCAGCAAGGATATCTGTGGGTGATGGATGATTTCTTTAGATTTAATGCTGACCATCAGCAGCTTCATCTGCTGCCCCTTACTTTCTGTATTGATGGGAAGAGGCAGTGGATACTCAAGCCCCTTCCACACCCTCCTGCCAGTCACAAATCTGGAGACCTCAAGTGAATACTCACTTAGACCATGTATTTTCAAGCTAACAAGCCTTAGCCTGCATATTTCAAATCCATCTCAGACAGCCAATCCTCCTTTTTGCCCTTTTCTGAACTTTTTCTGATCCTACTTCTTCAAGTCTCCTCTTTGAGGCGGCGTGAGATCATCCCAGAGCATTCAAATACGTTTGGTGCATTGGAAGATGGATGGGACTGACCATGGATTGGATCACTGGAGCATACGATGTCATCACTGGGTTCTCTCTGGTAGAAAGATTCACAGAATCATAGAATTACCAAAGTTGGAAAAGATCTCCAACATCATCCAATCTGACCACCCACCTACCACCAGTATTTCCCCAGTAAACCACATCCCTCAGTACAACATCCAAACATCTTTGGACATCTCCAGGGATGGTGACTCCACCACCCCCCTGGGCAGCCTGTGCCAGTGCCTGATCACACTTTTCTAGAAGATATTTTTCCTAACATCCAACCTGCATCTCCCTTGGTGCAACTGGAAGCCTTCCTACCTGCTAACATCTAATCTGCTTCTAATTTCCAAGTAAATTTGCTGCTGAGTGTTGAGTTGATGTTTACCAGTCTGAACCCAGATTTTCTCTCCTGAGTGGCAATGTTTGGCTCCTTGTCTTATGGCAAAGCCAGGACTGACTTTGATTAAACATATCACTTCACATTCGTCTATTCTGAATTTCACCTGATCCTTTATCACCCAGTGTCTGATAGATCCTTTTATAGTTCTGTATTTACAAGGCATAAATGTAAGTAAATTAATTGCACGAAAGTAACATTTGCAGGTTATGTCTTAAACATGAATTGTTAGGTGACAAGTAAAGTCCAATGCTCACAAGCACAGGGCAGCAATTCTAGGGGACCCAGTACGGAAAGCAGCAGTCAAACATTCCTCTTCAGAGCAGTGGTGGGCACCAGGCTGCTAAAAGTGAAACCTAGCACTGAATTTAGTTTTTTTTGTTGATGACAAAGGGGTGCATTAAAGCAGCCTCTTTTGAATAAGATATCCTGTTTGAGGGTTGTGTTCACAGCTTTCATTCTACAGTGAGGGTTGTTGGGTTTTTTTTGTTATTGTTGTTGGGTTTTTTTTTTGTTTCAAGTTAATGCAAAATCTAGAAGAAATAACAAGGCAACCAACACCACAAAACAGATGAAGCAAAGCCATAGGTTTCCATACAGCCAGCACTGTTGGCAGGAAAGATGGAGAATCAGAATTGGGTCCAATTCCATCCCCTGAACCGTAACCAACCACAGAAATTGAAGTTCCCTCCTAAGATGTTACCACTGAGGATGCATCGCAGTACCCTGCCCTGGGAAAGTTACCTTCCACTGCATGGATGGCCCCAGAAACCCCCTGGGCAATCTCCAGCTGGCTTTCCTTGTCCGAAGCTTTTAGGGAGGGCTGTGTGCTTCCTTGAGGCACACTGACAAGATGTGACAGGACTCTGAATTGATGGAGGTGGGAGTAGGGCTGTGGGATAACACCATGGCTATAAGAACCCAACAGAAACCTGGCTGTGGGAATGGGGGGCTGCAACAGAAGATGGGAATTGTAAATGAGCCCCTATCACCAATTAAAGACTGGAACTGCACTTCAGACAAAACTGGATGCATTGGAACAATGTACATCATCATCGTTTTCCTGAGGAAGGCCCATAGGCGGTGCTGGAAGACACACAGCCTTGAGATTCAGTGCAGAACTACAGAAAGTCTCTGCAGTGTGCAGGAGATCAGAGCTGCAGAACAGCACACTGTTTGCTCCTGCCTGCAGCTGTAACTGTGCTGGAGGAGTGAATTGTCACCGGCTCCCAAAAGGTGGCAGCATTGGTGCTGATTTACCGACGGGCTGCACTTCCCTGTAAGGCATCCAGAGATGAGGTGCACAAAGCCTGTGCAAAGCAACCTGCCCGTGCAAGGCTATCTTCTTGCACGAAGCAAACCTTGGACGTTTGGCCCTGCTATCAAACCCTCAGCCCAGGTATCAACAAGCAGTGTGTGTGGAGATATCGGACCTGCTGATCGGGTTATAGGGCAGCACCATGGGAGGATGAGCACGCGGGAGCAGTTGTGGTTTGCAAACTGTATTTTAAGGCACCTGAGGTTTACAGTAGGAATATCCAGCGTGTAGTGTGGGTGCTGTACTGGAAACATGCAGTGGAAAGATGTGTGAGTGGTGTGTGAGAGCTGCAACTGAGATTTTCCAAAGCCCTTCAGAGCTGCTGCTCTGCAAAGAAAACAGGGCAGCAAGTTGCTCAGAAACCACAAACTCCATTTCACACCGGAAAAACTGTATGTTGGAGTCTGGTTGGTTTTGGACCCCTCGATTTGAAACAAAACCTTGTGATTTGAGACTACAGCTTGAAACCTTCATTAAAATTACAGTTCCTCCTTACTGAAGAGATCAGATATTCTTATGCCAACAGGTGGAAGGGTCAGCAGTGCTGCAATCAGCACAGCCACGCGTCACACGCGCTCACCACAAGCCGATCGCTTGCAGAACCAAGCTCAGCGTAAGCAAGCAGTGCTGCGTCGCTGCTCAGCAGAAGGCACACAGGCGTCCTCCTCCAGCACCGCGCTGATCCCACCAGCAGCACACACAGCTGCCCTGATGCAGCGCCGCCGTTTGGCTGCTCCTCCTGTGCTGCCCACCAGCACTGCACACCTCCCGCGGCCTGACATGTGCTCCTGCCCCACACTGCTGTGACACAGCCAGACCGCGGGCACAGCGCTGACCCGAAGAAGCCGGGCAGCTCCGTGCTGCTGTGCAAAAGGCACCGCTGTGCTGGACAGCTGAGCCTTCCATGGATGATCAATAAACCACTCACATCAATACTCAGATCTGATGTCCCGGTCTCCTTCTATTTTCCAATATCTTCCCCACCGTAATTTTTATCTCTTTCTGCAAGTTGTTTGTTTTCATTGAGAATTTCCATGAGCGCAGAGAGACCCAACATGCTTTCCCATCTCTGCATGCCCAGACAGCATTTCTTTATTCTCCCACATCATTGGCCACACATCTCAGCTTCCACTTCCTGTGTAAGTCCTTCTTATCCCTCAGTTTGCTCTCGTGCTGTCAGAAAGGCATTCTTAAAGGGCTGCCAGTTCTGCTACACTCCTTTGTCTGTCAGGACAGCTTCACAGGGGATCACAGGCAGCAAATCCTTGAACAAACTGGATCCTTGTGATCCTCAAGATCACAAACTCCACCTGAGCATGGTTGCTGCAGCCCAGAGTGCATCCAATCTTAACCTCTTTAATGAGATCCTCTGAGCTGGTGGGGAACAGGTCCAGGAACATTACTCCTCTGGTCAGTTTGTCTAATACCTGGACCAGCAGGCTATCTTCAGCACAGGAGCCTCCAGGATTGCTTGCAGCTCACTGTGTTGCTTTCTCGTAGAACATCTAGGTGCTTGAAATCCCCCATCAAGATGAGAATGTGCCATTGTGACAATTCCTCCAACCAAAACAAGAAGGTCTCATCTACAGGCTCACCTGAACACATGGCCTGTAGTAGACCCTGACCACAAGATGTCCTTTGTTGCTTTGGAATGACTCATAGAAAAGTGGGAAGTAAGATATCCCTACTAAGAAAGGCAGTAAGTCTTCCTGGCCTTTCCTGTACTCCACTTGTAGAGGTTCATCTAACACACCTCTATTGACAACATGCTGTAATTAGACAACCGTGCTCCATGGCAGGATGAGAATCCAGTCCCAAGAAACATTCAGCCCAATGCATTTGCCAACGGGTTCCCTTCCAATCTGTAGTGAACCACTACAATGAGGAATTTTACTGCTTTGGTCGTAATGCTGGCGTAAGGCAGAAGCAGCTCAGTGCAGCACCTCACAAAACATGGGACAGCTTCAGCCATCCACACAGCATGGCCACAGGTTCACCTCCTGCCCCACGTTCCTCCAGCAGGCAGTGAAGTCATGCACTCCTCAAAGCTCCTGATCCCACTGCAAAGGCAGAATGGATTCCAGTTAGGCTGAGAAGAATATACTTACAGCAGACACAAACAGCTTAACTTAGATGTCACGACGGGAGATGGACAGAGGACTTAAGGCCAACTGTTCACATTTCCTTAGTGGGATTCCAAGACATGGATTCTTGTAATGTTATTTAATGGATGGATTAATCAAATTTTCTCATTATATTGTAAAAAAAAAAAAAAGCTGCTCTAATTTTTGCTGACATCACAAGTCTTAACACATCAAAAAAAGCCTAGGACAACAGATTCTAGTCGGCTTCACAGCAGCTTTCCTTACTCACCCAAATGCTTTCAGGCCCAGTGAAATGAGCCCAGGCATAACCAGACAATTTTGGCCCAATTTCTCAACAAACAGCACTTCCATCAGACAGCAGTGCCTGGATTCTGGCATCCAGGAACAGGGGACACATTTGCAAAAGAGGAACACAGCAACACATCTCAAATAGCAGTAGAGCCAGGAAATAACAACAGAAAACACAACACCAGCCCAGGGAAACTGTTGGTACTGTGTGTGCAAAGCTGCAGCACTTACCAATGTGTGAGAGGTCA